AATACTTTTCAAAATATAACCCAGCAAGCTTACACTTAGGATAATTAACAGTAATAGGAGTTTGACAGTCTTCAGGTTTCTTACTGTGTAAACACACTTACTTACCTTTCTCTGAAATGCATGTTCCACATGAATGAATATTACTGAATAACTGAAAGCAGATTTGGTAGACATGCTTAGCTGCAATGGTCAGGGCAGGACTGAGACATTTTGCTGCTTGAGCCAAGGAACAAGATGCCCTCCCGCCTGTTGCATGACCAGAAGTTGGCAGGACGGGCAGGTCAATATTAATTCAACACTGGAGGCAGAAAATGAAAGGGAACTAAAGAGCCTCTTGATGCGGGTGAAAGAAGAGGGCACAAAAGTTGGCTTGAAACTCAACATTAAGAAAACTGAGATCATGGCATCTGGTCCTATCACTTCCTGGCAAATAGATGGGGAAGAAATGGAGGTAGTGACAGATTTTATTTTCCTGGGCTCCAAGATCACCACAGATGGTGACTGCAGGCAAGAAATTAAAAGAAGCTTGTTCCTTGGGAGAAAAGCTATGGCAAATCTAGACAGCATACTAAAAAGCGGAGACATCACCCTGCCAACAAAAGTGAGTATAGTCAAGGCTATGTTTTTCCCAGTTGCAATGTATGACTGTGAAAATTGGGCCATAAGGAAACCTGAGTGCTGAAGAATTGAGGCTTTGAATTGTGGTGCTGAAGAAGACTCCTACGAATCCCTTGGACTGCAAAGAGATCAAACCAGTCAATCTTAAAGGAAATCAACCCTGACTACTCTTTAGAAGGCCAGATACTGAAGATGAAACTCAAATACTCTGGCCACCTAATGAGAAGGAACAACTCATTGGAGAAGACCCTGGGAACAATTGACAGCAAAAGAAGAAGGGGACGGCAGAGGATGAGGTGGCTAGATGGAGCCACTGATGCATTGGGTGTGAGCTTGGGTGGACTCGGAGGGGTGATGGAGGACAGGGGAGCCTGGAAGAACGTTATCCATGGGGTCATGATGGGTTGGGCACTACTTTGTGACTAAAAAAACAGCAGGAGAACATCCTCCGCAACACCTGAAGACAGCAGACTGTCCTCCAAGAAAGGGCTGGAAGGGCTGGGAAGGGATGGCTGGGGAGTGGCCACCACTGCGCCCACCATCTGCTGCCTGAAGCTGTCACCTCACACTGTCTAATGATCAGGCTAGCCCTGAGAATGGCACAGACAATGGTTGATGTATCTACAGAGGCTGATCAGCATTTCAGCTTATGCTTGTATCTGTTGCCATCATGAAACATCTTTCAACAAGTGTCTTTTCTGCATCAAGTTCCAAATAACAGAGATGACTCCACTGAGGTTGAAATATTGGCAGATCAGAAGACGTATCCCATCTTAAACCTCTATCTGACTTTATTGCTATATATAACAGGTTAAGCATTTTGCAATTCAGGTAGTTGCTCCTCAGGCCTATGAATCAAATCGAGTCATAATCTGACCCTCCATAATTCCTAGGGCTGAGATGAGCTCTATAGGAATCCATTCCTCCAGAATCTACATACTTCTCCCTGTGCTTGGTCCAATCCTGCTAAAGAAGCTGAGCCACAAGAAAGTCCATGACTGCTCACAGACCGCCAGCTGTGCAACCAGCAACCTTCTCAGGAGCAGCTGCAGGATGTGAAAGATGGGAGGTGAGCAGGCGTCATTCTCCAGCAGCAGCAGTGGGCATGGAAAAACGGTGCTGCTCATGCAGAGCATGGGACTCCATGCCTGGCAAGTGCCCTGAGCTGTTCTCACCAGGAACTCAGATTCTGGCCTGCACAAAGCAGACCAGAGTCCAAGAATCTGAAACCAGGGAATCCAATGGATTTTCCACACAAAACTGATTCCTCACACCTTCCTAGAGACTCCCAAATGACTATGTCTTCTTCCTCAAGCTCCATCCCTCTTTCTCTTAATCCTCAGCCATTTAGCGACTCCCCATCTTTCCACCATTGGTCATTTAGTGAGTCTCCATCTTTTGTGAACTGTTTCGCCATTCCAAAAAGTTGAAATGACTCTCCTAAGTTCTTGTGACAGGCAGTAAGAGCTTTACGGTGCAAGCCTGATGAGGCAGCCACCTTGATGAAGCTAAGAAGGTCTAGCCCTTGGAGGGGAAACCACCTGGGAACCACATGTAGCCACCTTGAGTTCCATCAGAAAAGAAGAAAGAAAGGTGAGATATTTAATGAAATAAATAGCAATATGAAGGTATGGTTGGTATGGTATGTTTGCCCCTCCAAATTTGCCCCTCTAGCCCTTCCTGCCACTGAAATGTGTCTCCCAAGTGCATTTCTAAAATGGAGTTCTGCCCCAATGCTGAAAGAGGTTCCGCATCCCTGCTTTATGGCAAACGCACATGATGCTCAAAGATCCATGTTCTACCTAAACATAACTGAAGACAGAGCCACAATCCAAGAGAGAATTCATAAGTTTAATAGCCCACTGGATTCACAGGGCTGAAGCTCGTGGAACTTTGAGTTGGACTGGGAACTTATGTTAAACATAAGGCTCTTCATTTGAAGAAAATGGAACCCACATTGTTGTTGTTGTTGTTGTTGCTGTTGCATTGCATTCTATCCCAATGTCCTCTTGCAAAGATCCCAGAGTGGCTTATGAGGTTCTCCTCTTCTCCATGATATCCTCACAACAACAGCCCTGTGTGGTAGGTTAGACTGAGAGTCTGTGAATGGCCAAGTCACTGAGTGACTTTCATGGTTGAGTGAAACCTGGATCTCCAGAGCCCCAGTCCAGCATTCTTAACCACTATAGTTCAACCAGTTGAACCTCTGAGTTCCATCATAGGACCATCCATCTAACTTGGTATTTCTTTCTGGCAGAAGTTCTCCAAAGTTTCAGATACAAACCCTCCACAATCCTACCTGTGGATTGAAACTGGAGGCTTCAGCAAACAGAACGTGTGATATGCCACTGAGCTAAGACATATCTCCCTAAATTTTTGAATAATGAAAATTTATAAAATACCATGGATAATGGTCAGGATACAGAGAACTTTCTACATGATCACAAAGACTTCTAGCCATGTCCACACAATGTTCAGACAATGTCCACACAATGTGCGTCCCTGTTGGTTCTCCTGGGCCTCTCAGCGGCTTTCGATACCATCGACCATGGTATCCTTCTGGATAGGCTAGCAGGATTGGGGGTCGGAGGCACTGCTTTGCAGTGGTTCTGCTCCTATCTCAATGGCCGATTCCAGAAGGTGGTGCTGAGGGACTATGGCTCTGCACCATGGCAGCTATGCCATGGAGTACCACAGGGGTCCATTCTATCCCCTCTGCTATTTAACATCTACATGAAACCGCTGGGAGAAGTCATCAGGCGGTGTGGGCTGTGGAATCATCAGTACGCTGATGATACCCAGCTCTATCTCTCGTTTTCTACCAATCCAGGTGAGGCAGTGGCTGTACTGAACCGGTGCTTGGCCAAGGTAATGGGCTGGATGAGGGCCAATAAACTGAAGCTCAATCCAGACAAGACAGAGGTCCTGTTGGTTGGCGGATTGGGCTTCGGAGAGGGTGAATTGAACTTAGTCCTGAATGGGGTTGCACCCCCTCTTAGGGACAAGGTCCGCAGCCTGGGAGTGCTCCTTGACCCAGAGCTTTCATTGGAAGCTCAGGTGACAGCAGTGGCGAGGAGCGCTTTCCTTCAGCTTCGGCTGATCCATCAGCTGCCCCCCTACCTGGAGTACGACTGCCTGGCGACAGTGACACACGCGCTGGTGACTTCCCACCTTGAGTTCTGTATCACGCTCTATGTGGGGCTACCCTTGAAGATGGTCCGGATACTTCAATTGGTTCAAAATAGAGCTGCCAGGCTGCTGATGGGGACTGGGCGTTATGTTCACATGACTCCAGTCCTCCGTCAGCTTCACTGGCTTCCCATTGAAGTCCGGGCCCAATTCAAGGTGCTGGTGATGACCTATAAAGCCCTAAACGGCTTGGGTCCTGGTTACCTGAAGGAGCACTTACATCCATATACGCCCGCCCGCCCCTTGAGATCTGTGGGAGAGGCCCTTCTCCGGGAACCCTCCGTGAAAGAAATTAGGAGGGTAGGTACTCGGAGGAGGGCTTTCTCTGCGGTGGCGCCCAATCTATGGAATGCGCTCCCCAGAGAGGTCCGCCTGGCACCATCGTTATTTGTTTTTCGGCGCCAGGTGAAGACCTTTTTATTTAAACGTCATTTTAATTGTTAATATTATCTGCTTATTTTATCTGGCCAGGGCTACTTATTTTATATTGTTAATTTTTTGTATATTGGAATGTTTTATATTTTAATTTAATGTTGTGAGCTGCCCCGAGGCTTCGGCAAATGGGGTGGCATAGAAATGTTTTAAATAAATAAAATAAATAAATGTGATGACCCATATTCAAGGGCTGGGATTTTTATTAAGAATCCACATGCCACCAACAACCTGCACTGGCACCAACAAACTGTTCACTGATAATTCATACTCAACCCATAATGGACCCTTGAGTGTGGGTTATCCTATTGTCTGAACCCAGGCATGTGGTCCCTTCGCTTGTGCCAATCCCTCTCCTCAGAGCTGGGCCTGCCCATTTCTGCTTCCTTTCACTGTCTAGAAATTGCCCTGATCCTCAGGCACAGTTTTTCATGGGGAATGAAAGTGACTCTAACAGGAATGGGGAGAAATAAAAGCCCTGTTGCACAGAGGAATTTCATGGGCATTATAAATTTTGTTCCTGATGATGAAGTTCAGAGGAATTCAACTCTTTCTCCATCTAAGTACTAGTATGTTACCCTTTCATCAAAACTTCAAGCTGTGTAATTACCTTCCGAGACATGAGTCACCTTGTTTCTTAGTTCCTGGACCAGCTTTCCTCTATAAAAGGGGCACAGGGTCCTTCTGCTTGCTCTTGTCCAGCTACCCTTTGCAACTGGGAAGAAATGGCTCTCCTGCCTATGTTTTGCCCGCCTTTACTTCTGGTGCTTTCTCTGAGGTATTCAGCTGCAGCCCCTGCTCTTTTTGCCTTGTCACAGACATCCAACTGGAGAGACCTCTATATCGCCCAGGTTGGTGATGGTTTGCAGCATTTTAGTGACTTAGAATGCAATCCCATGGCTTACTGACTTGAGTGTAAGCTCCGCTGAATCGAGTCAGATTTGTTAAGCAATTGAAATGCGCAGAGCATTGGACTGCAAAGCTAGAATGCTCATGAGGTTTAGAAGATAGCTTTGCTGGCATAAGTAGGGCTTGCTTTGGATGAAGTGGAGTTTTGAAAAGGGGTTTATAAGGCGATAGTATCATTCTGTAGTTCAGTTAGCTATTTTTAGACTCTGGATATAATGGTCTCATCAGGGTGGAGTGAGGGGCTCTTTAGTTTGTGAGGTATCGCACTTCACTTAGGACTTCACTCACAGTAGTTGTAATTGCTTTACATGATGTTGTTGCTCTCCAGCACTTCTCCAGGGCTTTCCAAGAATTTCTGTGCCTTTTTCTAGAGTGAAGAAGGAGTGGCATTATCTGAAAAAGGCAACATGAACTGAAATGAAAAGTGCCTGTATTTTCACAATTCCACTACACCACAGCACCACATTGTGGTTGTGTGATGGAACATATAGTAAGGTAAAGGGAGGGAGGGAGGGGAGGGACCAAAAACAACTCATAAAAGAGCAGCTCATATTGCCAAAAAGAATCCAGAAGCAAAGGCCTCAGTAAAATGGCATGTGGAGAAGTCCTGAATCCGAAGTGTGGAAGCAAGTCCTGTGATGCTTGAGAATCATTCTGCTCTGTGCAAGCCCCAAACATCTGCCCTGAAGTCCTTCCCTGGTGGCACTACTGCCAATATTTGCAGTGGGAAGGAACTGGTGGGCAAGTGCACTGTTTGCTATTTCTCCCTCTATGGTAGTTAGAAGGTTTCAGCTCTTGACACTGTCAACTCTACAGGCCTTAAGAAAGTACATTGCACTGAGTCTGTAGTCCTTTGTGCACAGGGTAGAAACAGGCTGGCAATCATTTCAAATCCTACTGTAGCTGCACTGACCATCTGTAGCCTCTGGCCATTTGGTGAGCCCAGAATCACAGACCTCAACAGGAGCACAGGGAGGAAATTTTGCCTTGCATTTACAGCATGGGAAGGGATTAGAATGAATGGTGAATGCAGTCTGAAGCAACCAGTTACCCCATTGTTCTATCACGGTTCCTCTGCTTTCCTAAATTAGGCTGAATAAAGGCATACCTTGCAGGTAGGGGTCCTGCTCTCTCGCGCTCTCTCTTTCTCTTTCACACAAACACAACTGCTTGCATTCTACCTGCCTTGCTAACCCTTTTGACCAACATACCAATCCAGAAATCAAATGCTGGACCACCACTCTGGCTTGCCTCCCTGCCCTGCTTCAGTCTGCCTTTAAAAATGTGCACACACATGGACGCACACATGCATGCACACATGCAGAGAGAGAGAGAGAGAGAGAGAGAGCGAACAAGCGAGCATATTCAGTCTTCTGGATTTAAATAAATGGGAAGGGAAGAAATGGCTAGTGACATCACAGCCATCAGAGTTCTCCATAGTTGACCTCAGAAAAAGCAGGAAGAACTGGATTTTTCTCGAGTCTGATTCCAAAGGAGAAGCTATAGGTGCAAAAAAGAGTGTGCATTCCCCAAGTGGTCACCACAGCCTAAGCTGACGATTGAAAGTTGGAGAAAAGAAGAGCTGCTTAAGTTTTCCCCACCCACATAAAGAAGTTTTGTAAATGTGTTCTGTGAATATGTCTGATGCTTCTCCCTTATGTTGCAAATTGTTTTGTGTAACACAGGAGAACTGAAACATAGTTCTCAGCATGTGCAATAGAGTGTCTACATTCAGGGCTGTGGCTTTCTTTATGGACTTCATCCATCTCTTACTTGGTCTTCCTTTTCTTCTGCTTTTGACTTTCCCTAGCATGATGGTCTTTTCTGGTGAGCCTTGCCTTCTCTGGGAAAAGCTCTGGCTTGTTTTGACAGGGGATTTGCAGAGCTGGTAGGTGTTATGGGATCTTTATCTAGCAAACTTGCATAGGACTGCACTGTGAAGAGATTATTTGGCCTATGATTTTTTTAAAAATATCTCTTACAATCGTGAGCTTTTAAGGGTTGAGCAGGGCTGTCAAGGATAGGAAATTTTGGAGCGCATTCATTCATAGGTTTTCTATAAGTCAGCCTATAACAGCAGCAGCCTGTTAATATTGGAATTGCTGTGCTTCTGTAAGTAACTGGACAATATAATTAAAATGTGTGAATCATCTAGATCATGATGTGCATCTTTGGCAGTGTTGGGGACTAGAGTTGAGTGACTTGCTCCCAAGTCTAACTCAAGTTGTGTCAGCAACTCAACTCGGACTTGACTTGAGAGCAATAAGCAAGTGACTCGGCCTGAGATCTCTTCTGTTTTTAGGAGCAAGCTGCTCCAGGGCTTACACCCTGCATCCGATGTGTGGCAGGATCTCCTGAGGCTATCTCCGCTGAAGGCATCTTTGATGGGCTGGAAGGCAGGCAAGGAAACAGCAGAGGCAGTGGGAGGAAGGGAGTTTAAAGGGGAGGGGTGCAGGATAGAGAGGAGGAGGTTCCAAAGGAGGACGGGAAGGCAAGGTTTGGGATGGGAACATTGGGGGTTACACCTCCCCCACCTCCCCACACACACTCACACACACCACCACCTTCCTTTTCTATGATTAAGTTAGCTCTTGAGTCTTGGGAAGATACTTGAGACTTGACTTGAAAATTTCTTGCAATGACTTGAGACTCAACCTGGACTTGAAAGTATTTGTTTGTTTGTTTGTTTGTTTGTTTGTTTAAAGCTCTTCTATCCCATCCCCTACAGAACGTCTCAGGATGGCTTACAATAAATAACTGTAAAGACTTAAAGACTTTACTCTCAAGACCTGGAGTAAAGGAATTGAACACATTGCTGATCCTTGGTGCCACCATCATGAGTGGTGATCATGTTATTGGCAACTAGACTTAAGCAAAAGCTTCACTGTGTTTAAATCTGCCCTCTGGGCTCTCCTTGTACAGTCCTGATTTCCATCGGCCTCCAACTTTTGCTTCAACTTTGTGCCAGGCTGGGGGAGGGTCGCAAAGTAATCGTTCCTCACCCAAGTTGGTGAGGAAAGACATCCTGATGAGAACAATTGTGCGCTCATGATCCCTCTCACAAGGATATTTGTGGGGCCTTTTCAAAATGTCATCTTCCTCCAGCAACTCCTCTGCCTTTTCCAGCCCTTTTCAGAGCTTTTCTTAAAGCAAGGAAAGTCAACTGTTTTTCTGGTTGCCACCACTATTCACTAAAGAAGCCTAGCATGTTTTCCCAATTCTATTCTATTCCACAGCGCCACCTTGTGTCCTGTACAGAAGCCCTTGGACAGCCGACTGGACAGACACACAGTTCCTCTCTCCCACTATGGTGTTTTGCATATTTCTACTTAAATAAGCATAACTATTTCTAAATGTGAATCTATCAGTATATGAAAATGTGAACCCGATGCAAATCTGAATCCAATTTTGTCCCCTTTTTGGTGACGCACAAGTGACCACTGAACTTACTTGTCTCTCTCTCTGTCTTTAGGAATACCTTGACAAATTTTACACAATTCAAGGAGGACACCAAGTTGGGGAAATGACAAGTGGTGGCACTTCCATGACAAGCAAGATTCAGCAAATGCAGGCATTCTTTGGCTTGCAAATCACTGGAAAGCTGGACTATAGCACCATGGATGTAATAAAGAGGCCTCGATGTGGCGTCCCTGATGTGGCAAACTATCGCCTTTTCCCAGGAGAACCAAAATGGGAAAAAAGTACATTGACCTATAGGTAATGAGTCCATACTGTCCACTACCTTAAATGTTACTGAAATATTTAACATGTAAATATAAATGTTAAAGCTGTAAGATATATACATTTATATTGTAAGTTATCCCCTCTCCTTTGCAGTTCAGATTATTTCTCACAGTTCATCAATCTACACATAAGAGGTTCACCATGGGACATCCTTGGTACAGTCCTATGGGACAGGGAGAATATCCCCCATTTTCCTGGGAAGTCTCAGCAACTGCTCTTAGACCTCAAGATCAGCCCCCAGCAGATTGCCCCCAAGGGTCAAGCTGCATGTGCCCTTAGCTGCATTGCTCTGCCGGCAGGTGCAGGGCTTGTTTGCTGTCGTTACCAGCACGAGGGCTCCAGTATGGTATGGCAGCTAGGGAAGCTTTAGCAAAGAAGCTCCCAACTTCAGGACTAGCCTTCCTGGGACCCTAGTCTTGCCTTCTGGAGTCCCCAGAGGCCATGTATGTTGCACTACCCCTCTCTCTGTAGCCCAGCTGCTAATCATTTGATGGTCTCCTTGTTTTGGTGAAGCTTGTTCCTCATTCTGAAAGGGTGACACACATCCCCCAAGTCTACATTATGGATGTCAGAAGTTTTAAGTTGAAACATGGTGATGTTTTTTGGGGGGAGGGGTTGGCCCAGCATGCTTTGCCCTCAGCCCTGCCCCCTACTGGAATTTGACCCTCAAGACTTTCTTCAAAATGGAATTTGGCCATCAGGGAAGAAGTTTTGCACCCCTGCTTTAACACAAAGCATGTGAGGCATTCTCCAAGTCTGTGCTAAGCAAGGAAAAGAATACCCACTAAAACCTGGAAGTTGCATCCATCACATGCCAGGGAAGGGGCAGAACTATTAACAATCATGTGGGCCAAGACTGCGCTCAACCATAGACCTCCTCTGAATGTCACAAATGGCCCCTTTCCTCCTCTGATTTTTATTTTATTTCATTGGAAAGGAAAAAGATGGAAGAAATGGTGGGAGAATTGGGACAGTTAAATGCAGGGAATTACATTATCTGGAAATATCCCACCCCTTCCAGAAAATTCTACAAATGAAGCAGGATGACTGTATGACCAAAAGCTTCCTCCTTAATCACCTTCAATGTCGCAGAGCATTCAGCCTGTGCAGTTGTCCTGCCGAATTTATTTGACTCTCTCGTAGATACAGTGCATCACATTTTCTAAATTCAAAATTACTGTAATTACTCTATTTTGTTTGGAAGTAGACAGAGCAATAATAATCCCTGCAAGGTGAAATCCTAAGTAAGTTTAAACAGAAATGGGGCTACAGCTTCTACCATGCTCCCTTTTCTGTCTAAAGTTTCCTTGTTTTGCACCCTCAGCACATTTTAGGAATAAGGGAACCAAGGTCATTCAGACTCACTGAAGTTCTTGGAAATGCAGTCTGAAGCTCAGTAATGTTTGTTTCCTGTTTTCATTGGTAATTTGTTTCTTGGTTCATTCAAATGAGTAAAGTGGGCATTTTGAATGAGAAAAGCTATAATTTCAGACAGGACAAGTGTGCATTTCTGAAAATGCTTTTTTAAAAAGAACATTGAAAAGTGCACATCTGTTTGAAAAAATACTTTTTCCACTCAACAAAATCACATTCCAGAATGTGCAAACATTTTCTCTAGTTCATATCTGGGGTTGCAAACAGAGCAATTTCAGATGATTTGCAAACTGGAACCAAATTTGCCTACATTACTGACCCCCTTAGGTCCCCCCTCATGAACAGCATGGGCATCACCAACAAGGGGCTGCCTGAGCCTGCTGAAAGATAGCCTGTCCGCATGCCCAGCTGACTCACGCATGAAGCCCGCCTGGTCACGCCTCTGGCTCCAGTCCTAAAATCCCCAGGGGCTACTTGAAGTGCTAAGGAGACAGATCACATGACTGGAGGCCCATCTATGTAGGAGAGGCAGGAATATCGCCAGGGTCGACCATGTGGGTGCTATTTATGGAAGGCAGCTTTAGGCAGGGTGAGAGGTGAGGTGGCCCATTTCCTCCCCACTCGTGTTTCAATCCACATTCCTCAAACATGCACTTACAAATGTTGATTGTTCCTATAAGCAATTAAGTAAGTCTACTAGACACCCATTAAGTGGATACTCTGTATGGCAATGGCCCAACAAATGTTCTTCAAATGCAAGGACTGGATGCTCTGAAGACGAGGCTAATGTGCCTCGTTGTGAAGCTTGATCATGTCCAGCATCAGGATTCAGCACCTTTGGGTTGCTGCTGAGGCCCACAACCTAGCAAGCGACCCACAATGGACTCCACTGTTCCTCTGCCTTGGTGTAACAGGAGGACAAGGGATAGGTGGCAGCACCCATTGCCTTGCCCTTTCACTCTGCGTGGCTGCATGAACTGGGACTGAAGGGAGGGATGGGAGTGTGAAATGAGATGGGAGTTGGTGGCAGCAGTGGGAGAGACATGTGTCCACTCAGGGAGCCCAGCCTTGCCCAGGGGCCTCCTCAACCTGGTGGTTGAACGCTCTTGCTCTCCACTAAATGGAGACCTCAGTATGGCCTCAAGGAGCTTCCATGGAATGACCCATCTGGCTAGGTTATGGGCCACTCATCTCCTTTCTGAAGCTTAATGAAAACCTATCCTTTCTTCGTCGTGTATTGGAAACCTTTCCCCAGCCTTGCTACCATCCAGTCTGGTTCCTTTAATTTCCATAATTCCATGCAGCCATCCTGAAATGTGCCGTTTTCCCTTCGCCAGAATCAAAAAATACACATCCAGTCTAAGTCATGCAGAAGTTGACAAGGCCGTGGAGATGGGGTTGAAAGCATGGAGCATGGCCGCCCCTTTGAACTTTGTAAAGGCAAATTCAGGAGAAGCTGATATCATGATATCATTTGAAAGTGGAGGTAATTGTTATTGCAATTAGATGCCACGCATTGGTTCTTGCTGCTAATAGGGTAAGTCTATTTATCCTTTGAGATAAACTGGACAGAATTATAGAATTCATATTAACCATGGCAACCTTCCCTATACTGGAGCTGTCTCAGTACTTTGGAATTCCCATCAGCCCCAGCCAGCACAGCCAGTGGTCAGGAATTCCAGGAAATGCAACCAAGTTCAAGAAAAGCTAACCTATGGGATGATAAGAACTGAAGACTAGTTTCAACATGCAGTGCCATGAACAAAGCTAAGCCAAATCATGGGGAATCATTTAGTAAATATTTCACCTGCTGCAAGAAAAAAAAATCCCCAACACTGCTGTAAGTGATATTTGGGAACAGCACCCATCCTGGAGTGGGAAAGAGCTCTTGCGGGAGGGGGAGGCAGGGAGGTGCCATCGCAACAAAGAGGGAATAATGGTAGCAAAACATAGCGGGTGGCATTACAAGGAACGTCTTAACACTTGGGACAGTTCATATTTTGCCTTCGACGTGTCCAACACCCAACACACAGCTGTATGTGGGAATGCCCCTGGAGGACTGCCACTGACTCACCTGAAGTGCCGTTTGTGTATTTGTTTGATGTGGGGTTTCTATATGGTTCATGTAGATACACACAACTCAGATCCTCTGCTGGCCCTTTTGATCTTTTCAAGCCTATCCTGTGTAAGAGCCCATGAGAGTCAGTATTCAGTCCTTGGCGACATCGGCAGAAAAAATGAATGAATGAATGAATGAATGAATGAATGAATGAATGAATGAAGCGGTCTTCAGAGTGTCTTAGTCTTTTAATAGCTAAGACCCATGATGGCTTAATGATGACTCCAGTATGGCCTCTGTATGCCGGTTACTTGGGAACATGAGTAAATAGTGGTGGTGCTGCACTCTTGCCCATGGGCAGCTGGTTGGCCACAGTGAGGATAGAAAGCTGGACTATGTAGTTCTCTGGTCTGAGCAGTAGGGCTTTTCTTTCTTATATTCTTAGAACTCATACAGCACCATCAGCTGGATGGCATTTTACAGCATAAGCAAAAGCAACAGGTATCATTAAAAAGCTGAAAGGCAAATTAGAGTCAACCTGATCCTAATTTCTAAATATATGGTTGTTTGGTCTTTGTCTCCAGTCATTGGTACATTGCGAAACACCAGGATGGTGGAACTGCACGACACTGAGGCCACATCAGAAAGCATCTCATGGTCCACACCCTGGTAACCAAACTGTTACTTTACTATTTGTGATGATTATAAAGTCGTGTTATTTTCTTATACTTTACTAGATCATGGGGACTCCTACCCCTTTGATGGGCCTCGGGGGACGCTGGCACATGCCTTCGCACCTGGAGAAGGACTAGGTGGAGACACCCATTTTGACAATGCAGAGAAATGGACAATGGGGATGAACGGTATGAGCAAAACCGCATCTGGCCTGAATTCACCCAGAAGGGGCAGTTCATCCCAAATTAATCAAGTGCAGCAGAAATAAGTAAGATGAAGTTCACTGTGAAATGCACAGACAATTGTAAATTAATGAAAATAGGTCTGTCAGGAATAAGCTGTGCCAAACCAAACTTAACTCCGTCTATTGACAGAATTACTAGACCGGTGGATCATAGGAATGCTGAGGACACAGTATATCATGATTTCAGTAGAGCATGTGAAAAAGTTTCCTATGACTTCCTCCTTAACAAGATAGTATAATGTGAACTGGACAATGCTACAGTTCACTGGCCGGTTGAGCAAATGTACCCAGAGGGTGTTAATTAATGGCTCAGCATCCCCTGGAGGGAGCTCTTGAATGAAATGCAGCAGGGCTCCGACCTAGGCCCTGTGCTGTTCAACGTGATTATAGGTAACTTGGATGAAGTCAAGAGGATACTGTAGAGAGGATGCTTATCAAATTTTCAGATGACAGAAAACTAGGAGGGTCTGTTCCCAGCAGAGAAACAGGACTAAGGTTCTGATCTTTATAGGCTTGAACACTTAGTCAAGGTTAACCAGATGAGTTTAACAGAGATAATGGGGGAGACTTGGCTTGGCATCGGGACTTGTGAAAAGGACCTCGGTGTCTTACTGGACCACAAGCCAAATATGAGGCAGCAGTGCAGCACAGCAGCAAGGAAAGAGAATGCAACTTGGGCTGCATTGGAAGAAGCATAGTGTCCAGGTTGCAGAAAATAATATTTCTGTTACATTTGGAGTACCATGTTCAGTTCTGAATAACCCATTTTAAGAAGGACATTGACAGGTTGGAGCATACCCAAGAAAAAGAACAAAGATAATGAGGCATTGAAAGTCAAGCTCTATGCAGAATGGCTGAAAGAGCTGCCTATAGTTAGCCTGGAGAAGAGAAAACTAAGGAGAGAACTTATAGCAGTCTCTAAATATCTGAAGGGCTGTCATGCAGAAGATGGAGCAGTCCTGTTTTCTGTTACTCTAGAGGTCAGGACTAGAAGCAATGGGTGGAAATAAATCAAACCAAATATTGGCTAAAGCTTAGGAAAAACTTCCTAGGAGTGGCAGCTGTTCTGCAATGGAACAGACTGATGGTTGGTTCTCCTTCACTGGAGAGATTTGAGGAGAAGTTTGATGGCCATCTGTTAGAGATACTGTAACAGAGTCTGCATCAAGCAGGCACATGGACTGAATGACCACTGATAGACCTTCCAACTCTTTGATTAAATGGTTTTATGAAAAGAGGGTTTATCGTCACTTAGTTAATATCCCCTCTCAAAGTTTTGACCCTTGAGAATTAAAACAATCACAATATATTTCATGGTGTTTAGTTGAGATAAATCTTGGATTTTGGTAGACTCAGTACTCACAGGCCCTCTTTATGCAACCTTAGATGCTTCCCAGTCGTGGAAGAATAACAGTGGTGAAGACCTACAGACATTTACCAATGGCTTACCAACTCAGTTAAGAAATAACTCATACTTCAACAAAAACAATGACCATCCGTTCATGTATGAGAGAAGCAAAAGACAGTTTAAGTCACATGAAAATGCCTTCGGAGAAGCAGGATCTGTATTAGTCTGGTTTAGGTCTGTTTTGCAATGACCTAAATAAAGATTGTTCTGTCCCGCCTACTTTCTTGGTCAGAATTTCCAGAAACAGTTACAGGATTTGCTTTGTCTTGGGTGAAAGAGAATTGGAGGTCCATGGAAATTCCCGTTTGTTGAAAATATATAAGCTAAGCCCAGAGAAGCCTAGGAAAACACTATATAAAGCAAGCTCTGTTGTACCAAAAGCAAATGGCATTTGCACCGAGCCCTTCAAGATTCCTTCTTCCAACTGGCATCTTCACTGGGGTTGGGAGTAGGGATGTGTGAGGAACCTGTCTTGCGCTGAAAATCCACCAGTTTCCCTACTTTTGGCTTTCTAGACTCCAGTCCACTTTGCAGTGGCCCAGAGTCCGAGTTCCTGGCAACCACACCCCAGCTGCACATCTGGCAAAAGAGGAAAGCCATGAGTGGAGCCACCAGCAGCAAGCACAGAAGAATGTTGCCCTTGTTTGCAATGCGCAATTCCTGGGGGATTCCAGGAAACCCTGGGCTTGCTTACCAGGAACTCAGATTCTGCACTGCTTCAAAGCAGACCAGTGTCTAGGAAGATGAAAGCAGAGACTCTGGTGGATTTTCCACACAAAACGGATTCCTCGCACACCCCTGCAATTCAAGTGGCTGTATCTAGCATTAGTCCTACCTATAGTAAACCTATTGAAATGTCTGAGACTTAATTCAGTCATAGACTATTTTTAGTTAATCATGATTAATTTGAGTTCTATTCATGTCACTACATCTACTTTGAGGAAGACTAACAATAGACACTTGCTGTGTCTGTCTTGCCCAAACTGTTAGCGTTGCCACCTGTACATATTGCAGGACTAGCAGCAGCCCTGTCCTGGCTGGTATTAACCACAACCATCATGGATAATTAACATCTTTGAGCTATTAGCACTCATTAAGGAACATTTGTTTATCATCTCTGCTCAATTGCAAGAAATAATATAATCAGACCATCAATCCACCATAGCTCAGAAATCTGTAGGATTGACTCATGTTGACAACTTGCTGTAAACAGAACCACAATTGTTTTTCTGTTCTGCTTCTGTTACAGCCAGATGTATCCATTTATATGAAACGTGTTCTTCTGTATTGTGCAGGATTTAATTTATTCACTGTTGCGGCTCATGAATTTGGCCATGCACTCGGCCTTGCCCATTCTACTGACCCCTCAGCGTTGATGTACCCGACATACAGATATCAACATCCATTTGGTTTCCGTCTTCCCAAAGATGATGTAAAAGGAATCCAGGCACTCTATGGTAATAACATAAAGCTAAAGTCCAGCTTATCCATTTTTCTCATCTCTTAATTGATTAATTCATTCCTTTCTATCCTGCACTTAGGGTGCAATTCTATCCATATTTAAAAAGTTTTACAATCCCTAGCAGTATCCATCCAGCACAGCTGATTGGGAAATGTGGGAGAGGTGGGGGGGTTTTCTGTCTAAACATATATGTGCTTGAGCCTTTATCCTTTTGCATATATGAATAAATTTCATGCACTTCTCTTTATGGTACACACAGGCAAAGAAGAAATATTATTCACCATGATGACTCAGTATGTCCACAGCCTTAGTCATAGTTGTATCTGCAAAGTGCTTTTTCTGCAATACATCATGATCAAAACAATTCACAAAACTAATACAATATCACAATACTTTACTATACTTTACAGTGCAACAGTGACTGGGTTCATATAACACAATCACCACTATGGACAGCCAGCCACTGCAAGTTGTTGTGTTATTGGTGTGTTTTCTGTGGGGTGAAGCCAAAGAGAAGCCATGCCTTGCTGTAGGGTAGCTTGTAACCATGGTGGGTTACCCTGTAGCCCAAATCGAGGAGCTCAATCTAATCGCGCATTGCCACAACCACCTAGAGTCACATGGCAAGAGTGTCAAACAGCCTGTGCCACTCCTCCAGCTGCCCTTGTCACCAATGCCAAAGGACCATCACTTTGGAAGGGCCACCACTTGTTTAGAATAATAATAATTCAGTGCCTCGTCAATGCACAGATGGGTCATAATTTTAATTGTTAGTATTTGTGTCAGTCTTTCACCAGTCTGCACAAATGGCCATCTGATACTTGTTCTCTTTACTGGTCAGTTCCTTGTATGTCAGATGGAGTAGGCAATAGACAAGGTAATTGACAAGCTAAAGTTGCTCTCGGGCTAATTTGCACGCAGTTGCAAAGGGAGAGATAATAGGAAGAGAAAGGCAGGACCCAGCAGTGCAATTCAGAAGCAATATAAATTGTGGAGAGAAGGCAATGGAGTAAGAGTGCCTAACCTGAGTGGCGGGTTCACCTTGTCATTGTGATCTTCTTGCTTTTAAATGTTGAGCTGACACTTCCCAGTGTCCTCCACCATTTCAACCCTCTCCCAACTCTCCAGCTGCTTTGGAAAAGAGAGAGATTAATCCCCACCACCAACTCTTTTTGTTGCTTCTTGGCACAGCGATTACTGCTGTGGTTACGGTGCTCATCGGGAGCCTGCCTGCCTAAGAAGTGTGTTTGGGACTGCAACAAAACAGTGCCGCCCTTGGCATGTCTCCTCAGAAGTGAGCCCTGCTGAGAGCAGTGAGAGCCTCTCTTCACAAGAATTGTGCAGAATGGCAGCCGCTTTGCCACTTTCGCTTCTCAGTCAACCAGATTGTGTGTGGCATTCTAGGGTCACGGCAATCTGGATCCAGGGTACCCCAAGCACCACATCATCCTGCTCCCAGACCACCCACGTCGACCAATCCAGATCACTGTGACTCCAGTTTTTCATTTGATGCTGTTACAATGCTGGGGAACGAACTCCTTTTCTTCAAGGATCGGTAAGCATTACAGTTGATCAAATGTCAGTAGCAAAAGCATATTTGTTGTTGTCAGTTGTGAAGTCGTGTCCGACCCATTGCAACCCCATGGACAACATTCCTCCAGGCCTTCCTGACCTCCACCATCTCCCGGAGTCCACCTAAGCTCACACCAACTGTATCAGTGATTCCATCTAGCCACCTCATCCTCTGCCATCCCCTTCTTCTTTTGCCATCAATTGTTCCCAGCATTAGGCTCTTCTCCATGGAGTCCTTCCTTCTCATTCGGTGGCCAAAGTATTTGAGTTTCATCTTCAGTATCTGACCTTCTCAAGAGCAGTCAGGGTTGATCTCCTCTAGTACTGACTGGTTTGATCACCTTGTGGTCCAAGGGACTCGCAGGAGTCTCCTCCAGCACCACACTTCAAAGGCCTCAATCCTTTGGCACTCAGCCTTCCTTATGGTCCAGCTTTCACAACCATACATTGCAACTGAGAAGAACATAGCCTTGACTATAGGCATTTTTGTTGGCAGGGTGATGTCTCTGCTTTTTAGTATGCTATCTAGATTTGCCAAAGCATAGTAGACATGTAATTTTCTTGACAGAGCAGAAAATTTTATTTTCCTTTTAAAGCAGCTCTTAACTCTACTAACCCGAGATAGCAATTCACTTCAAACTACCTTTTATGGAAAAACCACAACATATTCTTTAACAAGATTGCATTGCTTCACATGCAGTTCTTGATTTTGAGGAGCAATTTTTCAGTGTTTACTTTGCTTCCTGTTTTGGAATGATTTTGCTGTTTTGCATAACTGAGAGAGAGGAAATGTCCCACAGAAAACTTTGCTTGTTAAAGAAAGGTCAGCAGCTTCAATTTTTCTTCCAGATACTTTGCAGAGAATAATATACTACCAAATGACAGCTGTGCATCTGCCAATAATGTGAAAGCAGGTTTTGTACCCTAGGCCAGAATATTTTGTTGTCTAACACAAAGGGGCAGGATGGTGTGTCCTGCACTTTGGCACATGGAAAGGGGTGAAGGTGATCAGAGTGGACCTTGAACCTCACTTTCTTACTGGTGCAAGGACAACTTCTGCCACCACAGCTAAGGGCAGCAGGATTGGTAAGTGAATCCGGGATAGGCCATGTGGCACACACAACTACACCCCAACACCTTACTACTGTTGTGTTCCCTTCAGCATCTTCCACCCATTGCGCAATGAGCTTTTGTTAGGCCTATGCACAAACCAACAGCCTCACTTACAAGGATTCTTTAGATATTTGCAAGAAAGCATCTATATCTAAGATGACCATTTTCTCCCAGATGGAACCACTTTCAGGCACTCTTGGGGAGGAAAATGCCACGGCTAGAATGAGCCCTCTCAGTAGCCATCCCTCCAAGCATTTGCCAGCTTCTTCTTGTGCTTAGCCGGGTTTCCAAAGTGAGCTGAGCTGAGAGGAAGCCTGTGAAAGTTCACAAAACCCCAGGTGTACAACTGGCAATCTTCTTCCACATCAGGTGCAGCTGGCCAAAGAGCAGCTGAATGTGATGTGAGGTGGAGGCTCTGCAGGCCGTCACATGAGGCTCCTTCCTTGCTGAGCACCTTGTGACCAGGTGACCTTCTTTGGTGACAGCTGCAGACCCAACCCCAGTGGCAGCTTTTCCTGGCACGGGAGAGGAACTCTGCTTGCACAGTGCCTGGGGCCCAATTCCTGATAAGCACCCCACAAGCACTGGGTGCACTCACCAGGAACTGGGACGCCGGATGGAGTGGAGTCCAGGGAGCCGAACTCAGGGAATCTAATGGATTCCCATGCCCAAGCATTCCCATGTCCTTCACACATCCCTAGATAACACCCCAATGGCACATTTATTGAGGCTGGCAGAGGTTCAAATGCACAAGCTCATTTTGCGGGAATTAGCTAAGCAAATGGATTTCTAAACGCTTCCCCCAGGTGGGGATGATCCATCCTTTGCATTTTGGATGTCATTTAGAAACTTAAGTCAGTGTGCTTTGGGTTATTGTTGCCGGATCATTTCTGTGCTTTTTACCTGCCTTTGCTGGAACCAGGCATGAGGATGCCTGGCAAATTAGCCTTGTCTCAGAACAGATTCACGCCAAGAGAATGCTGAGATAAGTACCTCATTTGGTCTCATGGCAGGGCCAGAGCTATTGGCTCCCAGAAAATTCTAACCCTGCCATGGTTCTTTGTATTTATTTACTTTTCTTTACTCCTACTCTGTTTTAAGGAAAAAGTAGTAGTCCAGGTCTCTAACGGCGAAATCCCAAAGTTTAGGTGGACCTAGCATTTTATTCCAGCTCAGGCTAAAGCTGACAGCACCCCTGAAGTATACCTTGAAAAACACAGAGAAAAGCTACTGGTTGCAGGATCTGCCCTTGTTTTTCTGGCAACTAATCTCAGAACAAAAATACTGCCCAAGCTAGTTATTGTTGATTTATTTCTGGTATTGATGGGAAAGCATAACTGAGTGAATTCTTAGGTTTAAAGCATCTTGTGAAGTAAACTGTTTTCCTGTTTGTTTCTTCTTCCTTATTCTCTTCCACTCCCTACCCATCCCAAAATTAGGATTTTTTGGAGAAGGCAGGCCCAACTAACAACAAACATCCACCCACTTGCCATTACAAGCACGTTCCCTCAGCTCATGTCAAATGTCGATGCTGCCTATGAAGTATCCGAGAGAGGAGTTGCTTATTTTTTCAAGGGTCAGTCATTTCTGAAACATTTGTGATCTACCTCTGGAGTTCTGGTGAGGGTGGGAGGGAAGCTAAGCATAACAAGGATTGTTCATCATTCTATATTGGCAACACTTAGGTCCAGAAGAGACATTCTTTTAAATGTGTGTCTAGCAGCTGGGTCTTCTCCCGCATCCAATTTTTATTCTTGAATAGGTTGTGGTAGCCCATGAGCATCATAAAAGCCCCTGAACCCACACACTTTCATCCTGACAAAGATCAGGTACCCTGCACCTACTCAAGAATAAAAAGGGGGAAAGACATAGCTGCTAGATGTGGCTTTAAAGTAACAACTGCTTGGGCCTTTAGTGAGGTTCCGATTCATCCTTAAAATGATCTTGTAAGAAGGATAATTACTTTCCCCATTTATTTTTAATAGATGCAGAGTTCAAAAGACTTTTCACCAAGCCAGTCCAGCTGGGCCCCAAGGCATGGCAACGATCTTTGCATCTTGCCTTGTACTGCCATTTTTTCCCAATCTGATTCTCCAAACAGCATTGACTGGGTAAACCCAGCTGCCCAATGCAGTGCTGCTTTCTCCTGCCTGTACTATTGCACAAGCCCATCTTTGCCCACACATGGAGACAGAGCCCTACCAGAGAAACACCCTCAAACATTGCCCAGGATTCCCTCAGATTCTGAGCTGGTTCTGCTGGTTTTACAGCTGCAGCAGGATAAGGTAGGAATGATGCAGAATTCCAAGATGGCAGCATGGACTGCATCAGTTTACTTGTTAGGCTATGGAAGGTTTTCTTCACCAAGGGTTCCCCAAGACTGGAATGGCTTCACTTATGGTCCCAGTTGGACTGCCCCAATCAATGACATAATTCACCCTTTATATTTGTCCCCTGTGAATGGTGAAGTAGGGGGAGGGCCTTTAGAGTAGTCCCACTCCTTACACCAGCTGTTCCCAACCTGGTTCCCTCCAAGTGCTGCCTGGGCATTATGGGACTTGTGCAACAGATGGATGCAGTTGTGTTGAGGAGGGCCACCTTGCACTAACATGGTTTTCCAGACAATTCCAGACATTTCCACTCCATAAATTTTCATTTGCTTTGATCAATTGATACAAAAATGTTTCTAGCAAGAGAAATTAGTCATAAACTACATAGTTGCAGCACATTAACATTAATAGTCTATGGCTTAGTAGACCAAACATTCCCCCAATGAATGAGCCATTGAGTTTTCCTTTCCATGGAAACAGGCACAGGTGCAGATTGGAATATTCAAACCACAATGTATAGCTAGGAAATGCATCCTTTCTCTGTGTTATCCTGTCTGTCAGGGCCTCATTATTGGACAACCCGTGGATTCCAAATGCAAGGTCCTCCTCGGAGTATTGCAGACTTTGGGCTTCCTAGGAATGTGCTGAACGTTGATGCAGCAGTCCACCTGCGCGATGAAAGGAAGACACTCTTCTTTGTAGGAGACGAATACTACAGGTTCCTTTATTTTTGCCTTCTAATAAAAGCATCAAAAATCTCTCATGAATCAGGACTTTATTCCTTAGTACTTAAATGGAGAAGAAATTCGTTGCAACAATACCTCTAGTCATGTTTTCTGAGTGACCCCAGAACCAGGTATTACCAGAAATAATACTGGGGTATTCTTGGGGTCATGCAGTAAAGGATCAAAAGTGTGTTCGTAACCAATTAATTGAGAGCACTAAGGCTTTTACAAGCTGATGCCCCCAGTTGTGTAGGTTATTCTGGCTGGGGATGATGGGAGCTGTAGTCCAAGTTGAGGCAAGGCTGCTAATCCTTCTTGGCCGTTTGCTCCATACATTTGGACAATTATTCTTATTATTGCATTGCATTTATATCCCATCTGTTTTCCTCTTCTGAGAAACCAAGAGAAGGTCACATAGCTCCATTTATCCTCACAGCAACAACCCTGGGAGGTAGATTAGACTCAGAGTCAGTGACTGGCCAAAGGTGACTGACCCAGTGAGCTTCATGGCCAATGGGAGCTACAACCCAGCTTTCTTAGATCCCTAGTCCAACAACCCAACCACCGTGCTGGTTGTCAATGCACAGAGAGAGGGGCAGTTGTATCTATAATTTCATGATTAAATAGCCCATCACTAGACAACCAAGTATGTCTGTTCCAACAGGACAATTCTTGCAGATGGTCAGAAGTAATGCATTAGTATTGCAACCCTTTTGCAATCTCTACAGTGAAATGATTTTCACTTTTCAGCTCTTGCTATTTTTGGAGATAACCACTTTAATGTAGGCTGAAGGCTGACTCCAGCTATATGAAACCCCCCATTATGACATGTCTTTTTCTCAAAAGCTATGACGAAGCAAAAAGGAAAATGGAGAAGGACTTTCCAAAGAGCATTGAGGACGAGTTCTCAGGAATCAACGGAAGAATAGATGCAGCGGTAGAAGTGAATGGTGAGTATCTCCCCTTTCCTCGATCAGACATGTGACTTTTGTTACTATTGTAGCCAAGAATACACAATGCACACTTTATGCTTCCATTGACTGAACTATTTTCAGGCCTAAAAACTAGATGCCCTTAGGAGAGCGAAGAGGCTAAATCACCCATGGTTGTTCCTCTATGCCATGGCGTCAGCCTATTCCCATTTATTCTAACTATGTGACTGAAACATGACATCATGGACCTTGGATGTCTCTAGTTTAAATGCAGTCAGCATCTCTGATGGTCTATCTGGGTACAGGATTGCCACGAAAGTCATCTGTGGTCCTGCTTTCGTGTGAATTTGGCACAACATATAAGTGCATTTGAACGAAACAAGAGTCTTGTGAAAAACTTAGACAGGAAATTGTTTTGCCCATGTTTAAGTCAGACTTCAGCAGACTGGATTTGTGAAGAATGCCACCATTAACTCATTGCACTGCAGAACAAGGAAGCGAGAACACTGTTATCCTAGTGGCGCTTCAGCCTCCTTCCCTCCTGCTTTGCAGTAGCCTGCTAAATGGCCTGAATCAGCCACTTAGCTGGGTAGCAAAGCACATAGGCCCCTGTAGCATCCACAATCCTCCTGCTCTTCACAGGAAGTCAAGTCTTGCAGGGTCAGAAGGATGCAGGCATCTTGCCAGCATTGCAGTCCGAACAAATAAGTGAGTGGACGAGATTGAAGAGATCATAAACAAGCATCTTCTCAGTCAAAGCAGGACATGGCAGAGCAGGCTTAAGTTACGAGAAACCAGAATCCAACTAGATATTGGAACTGTTAATTTCCTGACAGAGCAGTATGAGAACGGAACCAATTACTCAAAGATGTTCTGGGCTCTCCCACACTAGAAGCAATGAAGATGCAATCATCTGAGCGGATGGTGCAGCTTGGTGTCCTGAGCTAGCAGGAGCTTGGACCTGATGGCCTTCTTGGTCCTTCCAGCAATACTATTCTAGGAAAAGGGAACTGGAGAGAAGTTACAGTGAATCTTGTACTCTCAGATTAATACTTCCTATTTTGCCTTCCTTTTCCATTTTCTAGGATTCATTTACTTCTTTTCAGGCCCCAAAGCCTATAAATATGACAAGGAAAAGGAAGATGTGGTTAATATTGTGAAATCCAGCTCTTGGGTGGGTTGCTGAATACAAGCCAACCTTGGATGATCGCGATGAGCAAGAGGATGCTAGAAATGTGGAGTGCCTCAGCCCCAGTCTGCCTTCCCTTTGGCGTTGTCTTCACAAGAACTATGACCAAGGGTTGTCAAGCCTAGACAAAAAAGAAAGGAAAACAGGGGGAAAATATTCAAATAAATTCCACACTAACATTTCAGATTGCGCAATAAATGCCTCAACCCATTTTGGGTGTCTCTTTGTCATGGGAGGCTGGTGGCTGCTAAGTCAGCAGGGGGCTCATCCATTGCAGCCTTTCTTTTGAGTTTCATAGGTGCTTGGTCCATGGTGCTGAACGCCACCCCCAGCAGGTTTACGCAACAGAGCACCATGGGTCGCTCCGAAAGAGCTGAAAAGAAAAGCAGTGATGCATGATAGGCCCTACCAAGAGAGAAAAACCAGCCTCCCCACACCTGCATACTGTGAGCAATTCAGCTTTTTAAAGATGGGGGGGGGGTTAGAAAGGAAAGGGGCACTTCCTACTTGCCACTCCCTCTGCAGCTGCAAGCCCACCCTGTAACAGGGCCTCAGAACAACATTGCGTCATTTCCCTCCCTCTAGGAGAGCACACTGGGACTTAAATGGCAGTCAAGAGCAACTCTGCTCCAGTCCGTGTAGCTCTATGTGAAAAATGACAACAGGAAGAACCTCACTCCTCCCAGTAACACTAGCAAATAATTCCAGCCCCTCTGCACAGAAAGCCTCCACCTGCACCCCGATTCACCACCTCCATATGGGATGGCAAGCCTTTGGGAGTCATCTTCCCTCAGCTTCATTTTACGATCACAGCTAGTGTTCCTCAGGGGTGCCTCTGCCTTGCTGCTTGTTCAATGCATGTAGGGCGTAGTGGTATCAGCATTAAGGCCATTTACATCTGATGGACTTGTTGGCATAACAGTGAACTGAGGCATCTCCCTCTCAGCACCCAGAATGCAAGATTAAGTGTGCTCCAGGTGCCATCCATTTGAGAGCTGACGGGCATTTCTAACAGAAGCAAAGCCCTTTTGGTGGTGGTTCCAAAGAGGTGGAATGGTCTCCTTCAAGAAGAATGTGAGATTCTTGATCCCAGTAGGACATGACAGTTCAATTCATTTAGAAAACGGTATATTTCCAGTTGTGAGCTAGTATGCCTGCCCACCTTCACATGTGGGAGCCAAAGAATCTCTCACCACATTGGCTCTTCCCTGTTCACAAGCAAAAGTATATTTGGATAGCCATTTCTGAAAGGGAAGTAGAGAACAGGAAAGTGGGGCAAGGGTATTTGAGAGCTATTCCAAAGATTGTTCCAGGCTTTTGTGAGCAGAAGAACTGCTTTTTGAGACTTCCACTTCAATTTGACTGTTCACCCCATCTTTAAAACTGAGTTTCCAAGAGAAGCAGGGTCTTTTTAGTTGTGGCACCATACTTGTGAAATTTTCTTCCTCCAAAGGTTCATTTATGTTCCTCTTTTATGGTGTCGGATGGGACTGTCTGACAACCCTGCAAATAAAGGACTGTCCTCCGTAATGCAGGGCACAGGGTCACTCTGTACACTTAGGTGTCTTTTTAGAGATAAATACTTTTTTTAAATACTTTTTTAAAAATTTCACAAGGACTTTGGTAATTAACCAAAAGTCCATTTCTTGACTGTTTCTCTGAATTCGTTTTCAACTGTATCTGAAATGTTTTATATTGTTTTATTTGAGGGGGAATTAAATCCTTTATTATATTTGAACCACCTTGGGAACCTTTTTGTTGTTGTTGTTGCTGTTAAAAGGAAGTGTGTAAATTCTGGAAACAGAAAAAATGAGTTTGGGATGCAAGGATCAGGCCAAATCTAACTTCCTTGTATTCAGCGGACCTCTTTTCCACTCCTGATCCCGGCCAGGAAGCAAGCCGACCAGAGATCAAGTCTACCCGCACTCGAAAAAGCTGGTTTCTCTGCGCCATTCATTCAGTGTATGTAATTCTTTGCACAAAAAGTGTTCAAACCAAAAAAGTGCAAGTCATGTGTGCAGAAGTCAAACTCCGCTTCCACTCGCACAGTGGGCATGCAGGCCACGCCCACCTGGACTCGGTTCCTGCGGAACGCCCCGGAGGTGAACACCTGCAGGGAGGGGAACTCAGGGCAGAAAGAAAGCAGGCCGGACTCCGCAGAGCCAAGCTAAGGGAATCTGATGGATTCCCACACCCACACCCACAAACAATTCTTCACATGTCACTAGAACAAGTGCACAAATGAATAAACTGCTGCCATCCATCCATCCATCAATCAATCAATCTATTTATTTATTTAAAATATTTCTATGCCGTCCTAATCACAAAAAAGCCTCAGGATGGCTTACAATGTAATAACATAAATAACATAAATAAAATCCCCGACCCACACTGGCTGCAATTAAAAACATAAAAAAACAATATTAAAACTTATTAAAATACCACTGGAATAAAAAGGTCTTAACCTGGCGCCGAAAAACAAATAGCAATGGCACCAGGCAGATCTCTCTGGGGAGCGCATTCCATAGATGGGGCTCCTCCGGGTACTTTGCCTTCTAATATCTTTCACGGAGGGTTCCCGGAGGAGGGCCTCTGCTGCCGATCTCAAGGGGCGGGAGGGCAAATATGGAAGAAGGCGTTCCTTCGGGTATCAATGACACTTAAAAGTGCTTCAGTTGGATGGATTGTGGCTTATTTATTTTTATTTATTTATTTAGGGGACTTCTATGCCGCCCCATTCGCCGAAGCCTGACCGTCCCCTACAAATATGTGAGGGTACTCTGGAAATGTGTAGCCCTCTAGACTCAAAAGATTACAGACATCCTATGGTGGGTGAGAAGTCACTTCTACATTCCTCCCACTCTCCAAAGTTCTTAGACGGCCAATTCTAGCAGGTCTTTGGAAAAGGAGGGAAGGATGCTGAGGAGCCACTGGCAGGTACTTCCTATTGTGGGGGGGGGGGTACCTGCTCCTCCCCTTCTGCAGCCCCCAAAACTTCCACCAAGCCCCTTTTTCAAAGTCATATTTGCAACCCTGGAGAAGCAGCTAGTGCAAATCTTTCCATGTCAGCTGCAGAATGGAGACCCTGGAGCTGGGACTGAAAATTCCTACGGCTTCAATGATTGCATTGCTCCATAGGTGTCAAAGGCTCAAAAACCCTCAAAAACAAGTGTTTTCAGGTGCAATCCTATAATGTTTAGACAGGAAAACAGTTCCTGCAATTCCTAGCTTAATCCAACTGGTTGGGAGTTGTACGGCTTCGTAAACGTGTACAGCATGGCACCCTTAGTCTTTTACCTCCCTTAATAACATTGCTGTAGTCATGGCATTAGAAAAAGATAATCACAGCAAATTGTCTTAAACCAGATTGCTCTTTTCTTCCTCATTTTGCTCTTTACTTTCACCATGTCCAAAATCAGGACTTATTAAGAAACTAGCTGGTCCTGAAATTTCATATCATGCCTAATGTATAACAGGGCCAATCAATTTTAAAAAGTGATATAGAGTTCTAGTTTTTAGGAGACTGTTTCCCCAAAATTCTGTTGCTTCCATCTTTGCGTCTGGTTTAACTTTGGGTGAGAGTATTGCCACATGCTAGGCAGAGGACGTTAAAGGCAGAAGGAGAAGAAGAAAACCAAACATGAACTGGATTGACTCCATACAGGAAGGCACAGCCTTGAGTTTAGAAGAGCTGGTCAGAGCTTCCTGGACAGGGAATTTTGAGGGCCTTTATTTATAGGGTTGCCATAAGAGATGGCACATACAGCATCACCATGTGGCCACAGGAAGGAGAAATATGTTCAATGGGATTGCAGTCTACTGCCCTCTTCTTCCACAGAAATGATCATTTGCATGGGGACCATAAGTTGGGAGCCACTGGTGAAGGGAGGTGCAACTCAACAACAACTGAAGTGGTACACATTCCGCACCTCAACCCAGCTCTGAGAGTTACTTAATGGATCATAATGCATTGGATTTTCATATATTTATTTATTATGGATTTTATCACCCTGGCTTTAAGGAGTTTGGGGTAAGATGTATCTACAAGCAGAACCTGAGCTTGTCCAAGTTTTTCAGATTCCACCTCAAAGTTCATCCCATCCCACATCCATATCAGATAGGGAACTTTGCTTTTTTTCTTTTCACGTTCATGACTAGTTCCATTCCTGTTTTTTTCCCCAAATGTGCACATTTTTCCCCAAATGTACACAAATGTGCACATTGTTGAAATGCATGCATTCTCCCACTGATTAAAGCATATTTGTCCATCTTTTTCAAAATGACATTTTTCTCATGCGCATTTTGGAAAAACACACTTTTTCAGTTCCTCAAATTATACTGTACAATCAAAAATATATGGATTTCCACCACAGATTTCACTGCAGTGAGGGAGGTGTGAACTGGATAAATTCAGAAAGAAAGAAAGAAAGAAAGAAAGAAAGAAAGAAAGAAAGAAAGAAAGAAAGCTCTTAAATGAACATAAGAGGTAAATTGGGCTGAAATATAGTGAATGGCCCAAGGTCTGCCAGTCAGCTTTGTGGCTGTGAGGAAATTGCTACCCACCTTTCCCTAAGGTAAGACATTCACTCCCAACTTCTATAACTCCATTCTTAGTTTTAGATTTGGCGTGAAAATAGGCCTGAAGAGATTCTTGAAATCTGTGTTTTGGTCTCAAGCTGAAACACTTTGTACATGGGTAGGCAGGCCCATTCCAATACATGCTTTCTATAGATGCCATTTTCCAATATGGCTGACTAAGAATGCTCAGTCTGGTGGCAAATAAGGGGTTTTAGTCAAGATATGTTGGAGAACAATTACTAGTTGCTGTCACCAGCTGTATGGACCAGCTGGTGACAGAATGCCTTACTAGCAGGAGGAAGGCTGAGATTCAAATCCCTGTCAATCTAGGTAATTTTCCAGATATACTTCAGCCAGACACCATCTCTTTGCTAAATCTACCTCAAGAGGGGGAACAAATCCACCCGCCTGAGTTTCTT